GGGGAATGGCGCTCACCGACACGATTAAGGCTAAGGCAATGAAGGCTTTCATGATTGACAGTCAATACCTATCGAACTTGTGTTGGAACTGAATGTTTGTCCCTGCTTATATACCCAATTCATAATCAACAGATTTAATTGTTTAGTGCATTCACTCCCAACTTTTGATAACAAGTTATATTAATTTCAGTATTACTTTAAAGAATTATAATTGATTTGTGCCTTGATAATACCATTATGTGCTTTCTCAATCATATCATACATATTACAGTGTTATTAATGTTCCCAGATTAAATACTTGTATTACATATTCATACGAAAAAGTGACAGATTTTGATAATACAAAGCGGGAGACAATTTGTTGAGAATGTGGGACAAAGTGTCAACGTTTTAAGAGAATTAGAGAGAGAGAGAGAGAGAGAGAGAGAGAGAGAGAGAGAGATAGAGAGACCTATAGGTACATACATACCTCTTACAGCTTATTTAAGTATAGTTAAAATAATCAAAGAGTTACTAAATTATTTTTTATTTTTATTTTTATTCATTTACTGTATAATGCATCAATATAATTAATTGCCGCATATTTTAAACACTTAAAACATTTATAGCATTATAATATTGCTCACAAAATTGCATTTAATTAACACCCGTTGGGTACAGACCATAGCTGGCAATACCGCACTGATTATTATGGTTCCTGGCCATTTTAATATAGCCCTGATTACCAAAGATAGTGCCCCACGAATTCTTAACCAGCCAGTAGTCCTGTCCACCTTCAGTGCCATAGCCCACAACCAACACCCCATGATTGAGTTTGGTCTTGCTACATTGGGGCTCCACATACACACCCGACTTGTAGTGCTGGAAACTGGTGTGATTGGCGTCAATGCCTACGGCTACCGGTCCCACGTTTGCCACTGCGCTCTGTATGGCCGACTCCTGTCCGGTCTGTAGGGTGTGTACGCCGGTGACGGACACGGCTTTCTTACTCTTGGAGAACTGACAGGTGCCCATCCGGGCGTGGTATGGGTAGTCCGACTCCTTTTCGATGCCACCCTCTTTGATGACCAACTCGATAGCACCCACCGGATCGCCACCTGTTTGGCAGACATCACCGCCGGAATGGATGCAGTCGACGATCTGTGAGGGCGCCAACTCTACCAGCTTTCCGGTGGCGATGGCGTATTGACCTATGGGTTGGGCGGTTGTATTAGTATTGTGTCATTTGATTGCTTGAATTAGTGTTCATTAAAAACTTACTTTCAATTGAATCGACGGCACAGAATGCAAAACACGAACCGCACTATACATTGAAATACAATTAAAATATAATTATTATTTTTAAAATATCAACTAGTGTATGTGTATTACATTAAAAATATTATTATTATAGTATATAATTTAATATTAATTAACAAATTCTTAATGATATACGTTATCATTTGTGTAATATTAGTAAAGCTTACAAAAAATATTATAAGCAAAATTGAAACGTGTATTTAATTTTCTAGGGTGTATGTTAGCTATTTACTAATAATAATTACCAACTATACTACTGTACTATAGTTGTCATACCTGTCCCTGATCCTTGACATGTGTGACCACATTCTTGGACCTCCAGTCTACGCTGTCGGGTAGGGCCTGGTCGACCACCTCCTCGACTAACTCAGTGCTCACGTGGTCTACATTTAACCTCAGAGTTAGGAGTTGTTGGTACTCCTGAAAAGTCTTGTCTGCAAACTGGTTGACACCCAATCGGAAAGTGTGGAGACCTTCGTCAGCCTCAGCGTTATGGGCAGTGATGTACTCATAATTTCGCTCAAAGATCTGTCGCCGCATAGCCTCCTCTTCCGCTCCTAAGTAGGAGTTCCCACGAAATTCATTCTGTAATGCAATGATTTGTATTACAATTCTGTAGTAAATTCTGTGTTTAAGAATACATACCTTGAATCCAATCCATTCGCTGTCCAGTTCCTGGAGGGGAACGGCGCTCACCGACACTATTAGGGCTAAGGCTATAAAGGCTTTCATTATTGACAGTCAATACCAATCAACATATATTGGAACTGGAGGTTTGGGTTACTGTTTATATACCCAATTCATAATCGAGTTTTTCTATGCAATGGTATAGTTTTGGTCTTGATAACTTTAAATTTAAAGCTAATTGAATATTCTAATTGTTTTTGATCTTGATAACAAGATTATATGTTTTCAAAGTTACGTGTAAATTGTAGAAATATTTAGTATATTCAGCAATTGATAAGGTAATTTTTAATATCAAATAGACACACAGTGTACCTGGTAATCTTGCAGCAAAGCTGGAGACAATTATTTGGAATTTACTGTTATTACAGCAAAAATACTAATTGTAAAAGTTAAATTATTTAGTACATTTCTGTAAGTCTTACATTTAATCTAGGTAACCGAATATGTACCAATGATTCTCAGAATTAATAAATGTCCTTAAAGTGTCAACACTCAAGGATTGTTAACGAAATGTCAAAAATGTCCTTGCTTACAGTAGAATAGCAAAGCAAAGTGGGAGGTGATTTATGAAATTAAAGTAGCTTTAATAATTCAATCATGGTCAGGCTAACGTGTGAACGTCACGGAACCACTTTAATTGTTAAGACATAAGAATTTCTGTCAAATTTCAAACAAGAGTCTATTCCTTCAATTATAATGTTAAGGAATTAGAAAGTATTTTAAATTGTACCTGTACAGTACTACATAATCGGTTTACTATTTATTTCTTCATGAAAATAAAAATTTCAAACAAAATTACAAATCTAATCAAAAAAATTTAGTTATAGACTGTTTAAAATGGTTCTCAAAAATATGGTTTTCTTAAATAATTCTTTGTGTTTTAACAATAAAAGAAATTGTTAAGTTTATAAAATTTTTAGTCTAAATCAAGGTTTCGTGTAAAGTTATTTGGTCAGTATAATCATGGTACCCTATTCTTGTTTATAGAAATGTTTAAATTCTTAATTCGTTGCCAGGGATAAACTTTTGCAAATGTCCTTGTGCTTTTAATTCTATAATTAATTTCAATTCTAATAAAAAAACTACATTTATCATTACCTACGACGAGTTATTATGTAATCTCATTATATTTTGACTAACTACCATGGTAAGATTTGAGTTACTATTTACAAAGTGCACTGTATTTGTATAATATATAATTGACAAATAATCAAAATTAAATAAATATACACGAATATATTTTTGCATAATTTTATTTTAATAATATTACCCGTAATACATAGTATTTATAATCATATTTAGTAAACAGTGGTAGGGTAGACACCATAGGTGGCCACACCGCACTGGTTATTATTGTTCCTGGCCATTTTAATATAGCCCTGAGCTCCCC